GATATTAGGAAAACTTGCGATATGCGGTGACAGTGATTAATATTGTGATGACAATATTGCTTGTGATAAATAAAAACTTAACTCAGGAACAAAAATAATCAAAAACTAAAAAAAAAAAGACAAAAAAATTATATAAATGAAAAAAGCAAAAGATGTGAGAAAAGGGAAAAAGAAAATGAACAAGAAAAGGCAATCAGCAGGTCCCGGGAAATGCAGAATCAGCAGAAAGAGCAGAACAAAGCTAACTCAGGTGTTTGCTAATCATCAAAATTAGGTGCCATCTGCCTCGGGGGCGGGCATCTGACTTATGAGAACCAACCCAGTTGGCCAAATGGGTGAAGAGCTCTATTTGATTTGTTAAAAAAAAATCATGCTTACGTTTGAGTAACAGAATGCATCATGTGTAGCAAACATTTGAGCTGAACATTCATTGTGATATTTATCTGTTCTTTTCGATATGCATATTGCACATGCTGATATTGCGATAATGATATATTTGTGATATATTGTGCAGCCCTACTTCAAATGTTTTCTTTTTTTCTTTTTGGGACTCTGGTAGTTTGTCCTGAAGTTGAAGTGAAAGCAGCCGGCTGTTTCTCCTTCTCTGACAAAATTGAGCGGAGAATCTCTCACACCAGTTGTGTTCAATTGCTAAATGTTTGAGTGCGTAATAAATGGAGGACCCAGGGAAGTGTGGTGGTTTGGTGAGGTTTTTAGACAAATGCGAGGAAACCACTTTATTAAAAATCTTACTATGTTGGAAGTTCTTAAGAGGCATGAAAAAATTTTAAGCTACTTTGTTTTCCAAATTTGCCATTGCAGCTTTAACAAGTTAAAAAAAAATAAGGTGATGCTTCAATAGCAGCAGAATATGATCGTATATTTTTCCTCCGGTCATTGTTATCAAGACCATTGGGACAAGATGTTGTTAATATGCGGCTTTGTGTAGACTATCCATAATTATGCTATTGTGTTCTTTTAGGACTCAATTTGTCACTTTAGTGGACTTTGTTGATTTGAGCAGGAAGGTCAAGGCTAACATGGAGCTTTTTTTATAAACAGTTGACTCTTTTTCCTGGTTCAGCTGTTTACAGTCCTGGGTGCCAAGTCCACAAGGCAGCTTGTAGCAAACGTTTCCAGTTTAATCATGGTTTTCCTGTTGATGTGTGGATGCTGGGTCTGTTGGCATATAATTTTAAACCAGTTGTCACAATTCCAACTTGAACAGCTAGTGGAGTTATAATTAAAATCTGATGACAACACTAACACAAATGTGTACTTTTCTCTTAAACATTTTCTAATCAGGAGCATTTTTGATTGATTCAATTCGATTTTTGGATTTTCATTTTCAAACACTGTTTTTAATATCTAATATGCAGTGACTGCCACTGTAAAAATGACACGTGTCATGAGACTGGCTTATATGTCCAGACTGTAGTTGTAATCTGGTGAGGATGGAAAACGGGGCCAATAGGAGAACATGCATGACTAATCATGGTTTTCACTAAACCTCACTAAAGGCCTGTCAGGGTTCCCACCACATTGGTATGCATGTCATCTCAGAAATGCAAAATAAACTGTAGTCAGATCTGATTTTTATTTGATATACATTCCATGGATTCTCGTAAGTAAGCGATTTGTTAGGGACCAATTGTGTTGGCAGAAGAGCTGACGGGGATGTGCCACAACTGCAATCAATAACTCTTGTCATCTTTGTTAAAGAGAGTGAAGAAAAGGCAGTCATGACAAAAAGATGAGTGCTTTTTAATGCAACACCATTAAGCAGCCTCCTGTGAGAGCCGCTCTCTGTTCTCTCCCTCTTTCTTTCCGTTCCCAGAGCTTCTTGGCAAGCTCCGACAGCAGGAATGCGAGGTTGCACTGTGCTGCTTTTTGCCGAGCTGTTTGGGTGTGAGCGCCTGGCCCCTCGCTGATGCTGCTAGCCGTTTAGCTTAGGCTACGATGGGCTGGACTTCAATATTCTGTTCTGCAATGCAGTGCCCTGGTGATTGTTGTTTCTCCAGCACTGAGAGGGAAGAGGAGCCGCTCCCTGGTGCTCAAGTTTAAGGCTCGGCCGCCCCTTCCTGTGTTAGCCGCTGATGGCTACCAGATGGTCGGTGGAGAGAGAAGAGGAGGGGTCCTAGGACCTTTTTTTCTACTTGCCTTATCTGTCCCATTGTGTTTGTTATCTCAATGCTAAACCATTTTATTAAATCCTGTTCATCGCCATGTCTTGTTCCAACAGGTAGTCTGTCCCGGACTTAGTAAAAAAAGAAGTAATTGGGAACTAGGTGTTGGCATTTAAGCTACATATTGTTTCTCAAGGTGATAATACCCTGCAAAACAAAAAATGTCACTGTAGTTTGATTTGTATAATGACTCACTGAATAATTTCATTTTTTAAAAGCCTTTTCTTGATATAAACCCCTTTAAAAGTTCAGGTCTAGCATTTACCAATAGGCTTTGTCATTTGAAAAGACAATAACTTTGACCAGGAAGCCTTACACTTCTGTTAAGGAGGAGATGCTGAGTGGTTATTAATAAGTTTCAGAAAGGATTTAGGAGAAACTAGGTGTTTAACATTGGTCGTTGTCTCTCTGAAAATGTCTCGCTTTGAAACGGAAGGCTATTATCTAAACACTGCGTGCAAATGCAGAGTGCTTTAAAACCACAAATACCTTAAAACTAAAGTGGCAAATTTGGAAAACAAATGAGCTCAAACCAATTTTTGCATGCCCCTTAACATGTTCTAACATAGTATAGCAATACATATATTGTGGAAATAAAAAAACGTGAAAGAATAAAATGGTTCTCTCGCATTTTTCTAAAAACCTCCACCAATAGTTGCTTTTGGACCGAAAGCTACTATTGGATCATCTGGTTGTCGGTCACTTAGAAGTCAACATAAAATGTTTGGACCCTGGAAACGGTGACTGGTGTTAGCACCAACGTCAAAACCATCAAAACCTAGTCTATTCTGTAAAGTCGCTAAAACAGCTTCAATGATCCAACTTCAAATTATATTTCAATGGTTTGTTTAAAGTTAGATGCTAAATTTATTTGATTTTATTAGGTATGTAAGAAAATATTGATATGGCAATATATAGTGATATTTTTCCAGCAATATTATATTGATATTCAAAAGCTGTGTATCAAAATTATTGTAATGGCAACATATTGTGATTTTTCCCCCTGCGTTATATTGATATTCAAAAGCTGTGTGTCTAATTATTGGAAGAATTTACGAGTAAACGTTTGTGTATTTTCTTTACTTTTGGTGCAATTTAAAAGCCGACCGCTAGTTGGCAGCATTGTGCAATGGGCTTTGTTTCCACCACTGAAATGTAAATCCCTCTGTTATGGATCAGATACCTCGTGTTAAACATGTAAAGTTTCAGTTTGGACTGTTTATTGGTTATTAAATTTGTTACTGGCCGTATGTATTACGTTCAACCTATCTTTGTATTTGTACCGAAGAGAGACAGAAACAATATTTAGTCTTTCGGAGTTTATAATCTGGTTTCCCTCACTGTAAAACTGTTACCACCACCACCACTCATGTGACTTGCACTGTCCTCTTTGCAAAGATACATTCTTATAAAAGTCATTTTCAGCAAGAAAACTGCCACAATTTCAAAACTTTCAGTTGTGTATTAAATACTGAGCAGTATTGTAAAAGTTGCTGACTTGTACATAAATCTGCAGGGAACTCGTGTTCTCTGCGTGCAGACTCCCCCGGCTTGTGTGTTGTTGAAGATCTTTTTCCCAGGGAGCTTATGCTGTATTCCCCTGCTTTAACTTGAGCCCTTGGATGAGTTTAGTGATTAAGAAGGTTAGATCATTGGAGTGGTGAGGTCTGAAGGTCGCTTTTGAATGTAGAAATGTGTGTGACTATCTGTGGGCATGTCATTTCACCTGTCATTACACACACACACACACACGCACGCGCGCACGCACGCACACACACACACACACACGCACACACACACACACACACACACACACACACACACACACACACACACACACACACACACACACACACACACAGCAGGCACTCTAGTTATGTAGTGCTGTGTGATCTGACCCAAGCCGCCGTGTCCACCGGCCCTTAATATAGCCCACTGCTGTCATGGTGCTTTCTGCCTCTCTTCAGCTGCTGTGTGCTGCGAGCGTCACTACGTGTCCATGTTTATCCTAGCCTTTAGCCCGGGTAAGTGAAACCAGGGGGTTTTCGGGGTCTCCAGCTTGCAGCCAGATGTGAAATACTGTTGCTGACCTGTGTAAATTCCCAAGTTTCTGTGACTCAAACAGAGCTTCGGTGAAATGAGTATTTCTTTCAGATTGCCTCCTTTTTCCATCTTGTTTTTAGAATTTTTTTTTGTTTCCTTTCAAATTTAACTGTTAAATGTGAAAAAAAAATGCTCTAGATTGATGGCTCTTTGCTCTTCTCCATTGGTCCTTTTTTGTCTGCTGTCTGTGATTGGATTAGTGCTACTATTGCTCTGCCTGATATCTTTGTCCTGGCCTCAGGCCAGCGGACACACACACACACACACACACACACACACACACACACACACACACACACACACACACACACACACACACACACACACACACACACACACACACACACACACACACACACACACACACACACACACACACACACACACACACACACACACACACACACACACACACACACACACCGAGAGATTCAGCAGAGACCCCCGCTCTCTTGAGAAGTTTCATTTTAAGTCTGATTGGAAGCTGAGCGTCTAAAGGACCTTCTCTTCTTGTCTACCGTCGCTTTCTTTGCATTTCTCAGCTTTTTCCAGCAATTTACTTTAGTTTTTACTCTCGTTTGATGGTGTGTCCAAGAAAACTGGAAATTTTGTTTTTACCCGGCACACTGATGAGCCCTTAGTGAAAAAAATTCAAGGTTAGTAATTTCTCATTACATAAACAGAAAAATAAACTGATACATTTTCATGTATGGTTTTAGATTGTAATTTGTGTTGCTGTTTAATTAGTAAAACTTACAAACGCGTTCCTATCTATAACTGAAGTATTCAAAAGCATTGGGGTCAAACTTGATGCTTCATTGGAATTCCATTGTTTGAATTTCTACGGTGATGTTCCAGTGCCAGCAGAAAGTTGGGTACAAGTGATTAACTTTAAAAGAAGGCAGGGCTGCACAATATATCTCAAATATGTCGATATCACTAGATCAGCATACGTTTAATATGCATATCGCAAAGAACATATAAATATCGCACTGAATGGTCAGCTTAAATGTTTGTTACACATGATGCATTCTGTCAATCAAACGGAAGCATGAGGTTTTGTTTTTAACAAATCAAACAGAGCACTTCACCCATTTAGCCAATTGGGTGGGTTCTCATAGGTCAGATACCCGCCTCCGAGGCGGATGGCACTTAATTTAATGGTTAGCAAACACCTGAGTTAGCTTTGTTCTGCTCTTTCTTCTGATTCTGCTTTTCCCGGGATCCACTGATTGCCTTTTCTGGTTCATTTTCTTTTCCCCTTTCCGCACATCTTTTGCTTTTGTCATTTTAAAGATTTCTTTTAGTCTTTTTTTTAATTACTTTGTTTTTGATTATTTTTGTTCCTGAGTTGAGTTTTTATTTATCGCAAGTACTGTTGTCATCGCAATATTAATCACTGTTCTCGCAAATCACAGGTTTGCTCTAAGGTTTATACACAGCTTTAAGTGGCAGTTTCTTTTATTCGTTCGAAATTATCATGTCCATGGTAAGATCCTTTGAGTTTTGTGTACAATCTTGGAAGAAAAGGAATTATAACGAGACATCTTTAGTCATATCTGCCAAGTTGTCTTCATGCAAAATGGAAATGGTGTGGCTGTTTGCTTGTGTGATCCCACTGAATTTTGAGTCCCATTGGATTCACAGGCAACCAAACAATCTGGGGCAATCAGTCAATGAGGCAGTCCGCCATACACTCTTAAAGAAAAAACATCAATTTTCAAAATAAAGGACTTACGTGTGTTATGTGTCTGCTCATGTCTCAAAAAAAAAGCTCAAGTCTAAATCATCCAAAGTTAACGCAGCAGTCGTTTCTGAGCTGAAACCATCTTCGTAGCTTTTTTCCATCCCAGCTGGGGTGCCAAGCCAAAGCATAGAGAGCTGGGATTGGCAAGACACAAAACTTCTTTGGCCAATGGTAGACCCGCTAGAGTGGCTAGACCGACCTGCAGAGCAAAGTCTTTTGCTACTGCTCTGTTTGGTCTAGATTTCTAGGCTACTGATTTGATGCAATGGCAGACATTAAGTGACACATTTATTGATCTTAGGTGCTGTGTGAATTGGGAATTCTTCCTGTCTAACTCATTTTAGATGCTTTTGAATTAAGACCTTGTTTATCCAGATATTTATTTCCAGCTTGTGCACACTTTTGATTTGTCCTGCACTGTTTGCTCATTGACTGAAAGAAGAATGAAGACGCCCCTTGTCCACAGCCAAGGAACAGCGTGATCATGTGAACCACATCTGCTTCACCAAAAGAATGTGTTGAATTTTAAGGATGCAGCTTTGACAAGAGCATGTGACAAAAGAAAGTAGATTGTGTGTTTAACTGGTGAGGTTGTGAGGGAGTGAGGCATGCATCATCAAGGTCTTCTCCAAATCTAGGCATGGAAAAATCAACAAGGAGATATTGCGGGAATGTGATAAACTTGTGTTTTCAGGCAGTTGCATATACTGAACTCAGATGAGCTAAATTGTTCTTTCTGGTGCAGCTTTAGTTCACATGGCTGCGAGCAGGCTGCCATCTGTACTTACAAACTGTCTTCAGAGGATGCAGACTGAATAGAGAGTGCTGTATGAAAAGAGCATTTACAGACTCTAGGAATCATTCCCAGCACCAGATCTCATTGGTTATAGAGGGGAAATTGTCACTTTATTCTAACAACGGTCAAGGATTGATGTGGTTTGTTAAATCAAACTATTAACAGAAAGTTAATGTAGACTAGACGAGATAGGTTCTCTGTGATTCTAATACTGGGTATCTCGCTCAAAGCAAACAGTCCACATAATGGATGTTCAACCTCAGGTTCTCCATGTCCCAAGTTTTATTTTATTTTCACCACTGCCTAAGTAATGGGTATTGATTGGTGACCCAGATTTTGGGGCATTGTGGTGGTGTCTTTTACTCTGCTGATGGAGCAAGACAGAATTACAAGAAGATGGGTTTAGTAGCAAGGTAATTCTGGCAGGCATTTGCAAGACACTTGACTCCTATTGCCTGCTGGTGGTGGTCGGAGGCGCCGGTGCTCTGCAACCTCGCCTCTGTCAGTGTGCCCCAGGGCAGCTGTGGCTACAAAGTAGCTCATTACCACCAGGATGTGAATGTGTGTGAATGGGTGAATGATTATGTTGTAAAGCGCTTGGGGGTTCTAGGACTCTAGAAACCTCTATATCAAATACAGGCCATTTACCATTCAAAGTCCAAAAATGTGGTAATTTGGTTGATTTTCTTTGTTCTAACAATGCTTGTTGGCAACTAAATTGTAACTTATGCTTCATGAAAGTGCCAACACCACTCAATGTGTAGAACCCAAAATGTGCCATGGTCCCTGCCAGTATGTTGTTCGTGTTGACTCTTGTTTGGACCTTCAGGTGTTGATAGATATGGGATTATGCAGAGCTTGGTGACTTGCTGAACAGGTAATCCAACCATTGAATCAAGTCTGTTAGAGCAGGGAAACTGCTAAAATATGCTAAATAAGGGGTTTTAGACTCATTCTTTGAGTGCTACCTTCACACTTGTGTTGCTCATTTCACAAAAGCATGATGTTGACTGCTTACACCTTGTAGTTATTTTTTGCTGTGTGGCTTGGTACCACATTACTACTGGACCAGTACAGGTTATCGGCCTGGTTTTTTGAGAGGCCCCTTGTTAATTAGTTTGCATGCAGTAGAGAATGTTTCTAGTTCTTCACGCCGTTTGTTGTTAATAAATGTACAATCTGTGTTTTATGGAAAGTTTTTAGCTTTTTCTGCCTTTTCCTAGACTCCTAACTTGAGTAAATCATGATATATTTATTAGTCCAAGTGATTTATGTGTTTGTGCCTTTTAGAAAAAAAAAATTTCATCTCATTTAATTTGCCTATTACGTTACTGTGTTGATAAACGCAGTGTACAAGTCAGTGCAGTTTACTTTAAATAAATTTCTTTTAGCATTCAGAATGAATTCAGTCATTTTACACTGTTATGGGACAGAAATGCTAGCATCGTTGTGAGGTGGTCTAGGAATGGGTTTAGTCTGAAAATTACATGTGTTTCCTGCGCCAGTAGTAACGGGTGTGAGAAATTCCACCAGTTCCTTACTGATTGGTGTATGGGACACAAGAGCATACATGCTGTGCATAACCTGTCAGGTATGTGTTCATGCACACTCGCTTTCATCAGAAAGTGAAATGGTATCATCTGAATGTGACATCACTGTGTGGAGGTGTGCACCAGTTTCAGGGGACTGGTTGAAAAAGGAGGTGTGTCTTTAATTTGGCAGAGAAACAAGCCCAGGCATGCCAACCAACTTGGCTTCCATGACAACACCAACCATGGGTATTGCAAGGACTAAAAATCTACATGCTGCAGATTGAATGAATGAAAGGCTGTTTTTGTTGAAGTATTTTTGCTAATTGTCAGTTTAAATAGCGATTCTTTCTTCAGATAATTGCTAAGAACCTGAGATACACTCAAGCCTGTTTTATGTCCTCGTTTACTGAGCAGCCAGGCACCACATTTCTTTTTTTCCTTGCAACATCACTAGATGCACAGAAGTACTATCAGAGTCCATTTCCTAATTACATGTTTAGTATCTCCAGCCATTTCCTCATGGACAGACTCTTCCAGAGAGCTGCTAATCAGATCCCGTCTGGGGCAACCTCTCACTGGTTGCTTAATGTGATTTAGAATCATTTTCATTGGCGTGATTGGATTAAACTGCTGCTGCTCACTTCATGGATCAGGACACACACACACAGACACACACAGACACACACACACACACACACACACACACTCACACACACACACACACACACACACACACACACACACACACACACACACACACACACACACACACACACACACTGGATTTACAATGAATTAATGCAACACCTGTTATCCGTCTTTTTTCTTCTATATTCAGTTGTAATCGAACAAAAGGAGAAGAAACAAGTCTGTACGTGGCTTTTTTCTGTGTGTAGCGTTGGAGAGAAAGCAGTTTTACCATACTGTATAACAACACTCACACATTAGCACGCATGCACCCACACTCACCCACAGATGGTTTTATGTCTGCTATTGAAAAGACACTCATCTCACTATGCACTGATCCACTTTGTGTCTGCAGCTCAGCCCACTACTTGTTGTAGACTGAAACTCCCGTTGTATCGAGGCTTTTCAAACAAATACAAATCCAGTTCTTCTAGAAGGGACACTTCATACCACACTGAGCATGTGCAGTAGTAAATAAGAAACCTAACTGGGAATTCAGATGCTTCTTGGCATGTAGGCAGATACTTTTGAATCTGACCAATCTTAAGCCAACGTGTTGTGGGTGTTTGGTTTAGTGGAGGCCGTGTGCATGAAGGAGGTCGTGGTGGGCATTTGTTGCCAGGGGAGGTGATGTGTTATTTTCAGTCCATTGTGTCTGCTTCCTGTGGGTCATGGGTTATTGGAGCTGGGTGTTGCAGACTTTAGAGTGAGGGGAGTGAAGGGAAGTCAGCCGAGTAGGTTGGAAAATAGTCCAAGTTCACAGCAACGACTGGTCATCAGCTCACTTACCTTGCTCGCTAGCTTCGCTTCGCCGCTACCCGAGCTAAGCTTGGACTCTTCAAAATCAGGTAAAAGGATTTGTTTTGTGTTTTGTTGTAAGATCATCATTCTGTTCTGTTTCTAGTCTTAATTGTTTTTGTCTAATTTAGGAGCTGACAATAGCTCTGTAAATCTCAAAATTCTAAAAGAAAAAAAAAACCCAACACCTCATGTTTGCATGAAAGTAGACTCTGGCCCTTTTAAATCAGTTTTGCATTATAATAAGTCTTGAGATCATAGCTATCAGAGTTTATGGGACCCCCAGGATGGTTCTGTGTTTTTGTTGCTCTGCAATTCTAGATACTTGTACCTACAATTTTTTTTTAAATTAAACAGATAATTTCTGAAAGCAAGGTTAGTTTGGGTGGAAAAGCTAAACTGCAGTGGGATAGTGCCATTTTCCCATGAGTAAGAGTACATGCCTGACTTATAGGGGAACATATACTTAGTTTTACTCAGCTTTCATCCATCAATATAAGGGAAGTCACAAAATCTCTGCACAAGCAGTCTAAATTTCCATGGACTTTTCAGTGTCTTAATTCAACCGTCTTCATAACTCATGCAGCTTTATCTATTGTTGAACGAGTTAAATGTTAACATTGTTCTAAAGTTAGCTCTTAACCATCCTCCAAACATGACTACAGTAACAAAAAAGAGGCAAAACAGGAAACGTTTTTGCACAGAATGTGTCGGTAACAGATGACCAGGAAGATAAAAAGCGCTAACAAAGTGGAAACTTCCACTAAGGGATGTTATTTTGCTCATTGTGCATTTCTCTCTTGTTCTGTCTGTTTCATAAACCCCCAAGTTTCCTGAAAAACCTTAGAGTTAGGTGGTTTAGTTACTATTTAAAACCCATTCTTTTGGTGCAAGCATTGAAGAGTTCCCCATTTCATTGGTAACCACTGAAGCTCTCTGTGCTCCCTCGGTCATGCATAATGTGATGGTGTGTTAATATTTAAGCTATCTCCATCAGAGTTAATGCTTCACCCCACGACTACGGTTTGAGGCTGTACCTGTGTGGAGGTTTTGTAGCGTGGCGTTCTTCTGCACTCAGCTTTAATGCAATATAACTTGATCAATTCTTCACTTCCCCATTGTCTCGTCTGCTTTTTTATCTCAACATCAACTCTTTGCTCTCTGTCTTTGCCAGAGTCTGGCTGTCTATGCGTTAATGAATGATATGGAATGATTACTTGATGTTCCCACCCCTCAGAACGGTGCTAGTGCAGGAACCACAGCAATTACGCAGTTGCTCTTCCGAGTCAGTGGATTAACAACACACAGTAGTTCTGGGATGTAATGACCAAAGACGAAGACCACAGCACCCAACGGTAAAGATTTAGAGAATAGAGAACCTGCTGCTGTTGTGTTGGGTAAGCACCACTGATAGTTCTTTCATTTAGTTAGTTTTGAAGAAAGGCAAAGGCTGACAAGAGGTTTGAAGGCTAACTCTAGTTCTGTTGTCTCACTAAGTCTCAAAAGTAGAGTGGGGCTAAACAAAACATCCCACTGTCTAAAGAAACTGAAGATTTGCACCATTGCTGTCTTATTAGGACACCTGCGAAAAACAGATGTGCTACGGAAAGTCTTTTTATTGGCAGCCATGTTGATCTTTGTGTGTGGTGTTTGTACTACTCAGACTGTGTTTTTTGGACAGTTAGTGAGATTTTCAAGGCCAAGGTCAGAAGGTGCCTGGCTGGGTGAGAATTTTACAGCTGCACATGAAAGCGGAGTGACTGTGGGATGGTAGATCAGACAAAACAATGACAGAATAACACAGGAGAAATATGAAAACTGATGTTTTAATATATATTATGAAGCCCGTGAGCAGGGATATCGGGGTGACTGTGGTACATTAACAGAAGGAGCTTACGCAGCTGCAGAACATCAGCCTCAGAAATCCTTCAACTTCAAAGCACTTAGTGACTTATGTTAACAGGAGTGGAGGCACACTTGCACATTGTCTTTATAATACACAACAGATGTTTGTTAGTCAGTTTATTTCTGGAAAAGTATGCACAAGTGTTACCCCTGTAGAACATGTCCAGCTGTACAGACTTTGATTGTGGCACCATTTTCTTTTCAATAAAACCATATTAACATTTGTAATTACATGACCTATATTTGTGGAAACCGGCACATTAAAAGGTTTGCTCCACTATTGTTGTTACAAAGTTTTATCAATCTTTTGACCATGCTAGGCAGTTTTTGTCTACTCCATAAAGCAAACTCAAGGTTTCACTATTATTCATTTATCACAGCATAGATTGCTTGCAATGTTTAGGAAAATTTTATGACATCTTTAGTGTTCATTGCCATCCACTGATTAAACTGATCAGGATGCCTAAATGACTGCTGCAGTAATTTTCTGAATCTGCAGATGTAACATTACAAATATTTGAACATCACTTGACTCATCCCTAGCACAAAGTGGCAAAAATTAGAGATATTATGATGGACAAAGGTAGCAACATCCACATAAAACCGAACAATCTGTCCATCACAATGAATAACAAGTTGCTCTTGTACCTCTCAACAAAGTCCATGTTTCTTTTGATGTTTGCACTTTTCACTTTGTAAAGATCACACTTTATCAGACTCGGTACTCCTGCAAACACCTCATGCAGATTGTGCTTCAGCTAGTGAGAAGCTAAAATCCCAGTCGATGAACTTAAACACGCTGGTTCAACGTGCCCCTCCACTGGTTACAAACAATTAACCAAATCAAATTTAAATCTCCAGCATGTGCCTGCAGACACATCTTTGGATCCAGGTTCAGCTATTTGAACTCTGTTGTTCTGCTGTACTCTTGATGTTGGCCACTGTGTTCTGGTGAGAAATGTGTCAACATCTGTACAATCATGGTATGCTCAATCACTATGCATCTATTGTAACATGATGGTGTAACAAGCTATCAAATGTTTCAGCTGTTCTACCGTTACCTGTCCTTTGAGCTGTTCTTGTCTCTTATTCTTGTAATTAGCTTTGGTGAAGGCTTTGGTGAAGTTATTACATGTGACTGTAGAGACGATATAAAACGTATTTGTTTCAGATTTCTACAGTGAATTTAAGGTCCCAAGTTTGGTTTCTGTGGAAGAACAGAGGCTTTATATTCTCATCGTAGAGTTTCTGACCTGTGTGGGACGATGGGAGGCTTTACACACTGCAGAGCAATGTGAGGTTTTTGCTTAAGAATTATTTTTACTTTTTTCTTCTTCTTAGAAACAAAAGGCTGACAAAATGATGTGAGCTGTGGTGATGAAATATTGTACCTGTTGAGCATAGAATTAGTTGGGAGAATTTCTGTATTTGTAAGAGTTAATTTAGATGCACACACACACACCTGGGTTGTCCTATCTTTAGCTCTGCTTTCACTCTGTTAATTTTTTCTGCCGTTTTTTTTCTTTTTGGCGTCAGTGATTTACTGCTGCTCAGATCGGTACTCATCTGTTTCCGGTTAAATCATTACAATATTTAGCTCAAGGAAGGGAAGTTATTGTTTAATATGTTTATTTTGAGCTTTATATTTATTGCTGTTATATATATATATATATATATATATATATATATATATATATATATATATATATGAAATGAACCCTGAAGTTGACTGGCAGCCAGTGAAGCTGGAGGAGAAGCGGGGTGATGTGGGTGTGTTTGGAGGACTTGGTCAGAAGCCGAGCACAGGCCTTCTGAACCACCTGTAGACGGTTCAGGGAGGTTCTGCTCAGACACGTGAAAAGAGAGTTGTTACAGTAGTCTAAGCATGAGGAGATGGAGTGGATAACTGTCTCAAGTTCAGAGCGGGACAAAATGGGACTCAGCTTAGCAACATTCCTGAGATGGAAGAAGGAAGAGCGAACAAGAGAACTGACATGAGAATCCAGGGTGAGAGCTGGGTCAAAGGTCACGCCAAGATTCCTGACAGGTTTGGTGTGAGAAGCAAGCTGACAAAGAGAGTCTCTGACTTTGGGAACCAGCTTGTCTGGGGCACAGATGAGGATCTCAGTCTGATCTTCATTCAGCTGTAGAAAGCTCCCAGCCATCCAGGTTTTGATAGAGTCTAAGCAGGTGTGTAACAGCTGCAGCTTAGACATCTCATGGGGCTTGAAGGAGATGTACAGTTGGATGTCATCTGCTTAAAGATGGTAGGAGATTCCTTTGAAGGAGCTCAGGATGTGCTGAAGAGGGAGCAGATAGAGGAGGAAGAGCAGAGGCCCCAGCACAGAACCTTGTGGGACACCATGGGTAAGAGAGGTGGTGGAGGACCTAAACTTGGAGACGGCCACATAAAAGGAGCACTCAGAAAGATAAAAGGAGAACCACTCCAGAGCAGATCCTGATAGGCCTACCCAGTCTCTCAGCCTCTCCAGTAGCAGGTGATGTTCGACAGTGTCAAAGGCTGCAGTCAGGTCCAGCAGGACCAGAACAGAACAGTCCCCTGCATCACTGTGAGTCAGAAGGTCATTAGAGATGTACTTAAGCATTCGCCCCTTAGCTGATGACAGCTTCAACACACCTCGCTGCTTAATGATAGTAATGCATGTGATGTTTAGACAGTGACTCGTCTCAGAAACTTATAATTCCCCAGCAGAAAATCATCAGAAAAGTTTTAGAGTGTTTCTGTGTTAACTTAAACTTCTGTTTTCAACTTTAAGACACATTGTTTGTTATTGTTTACAGAGTAGTGAGAACACTGAGCGTTCTCCCAGCGGCAGCCAGGTGCCTCTCGTTTGTCTGACTACTTTCATAAACTACTGAATTATTCTGACGGGTGCTTTCAGCGCCGCGCAGATGTTACGTAAATGTTAAAAATATAGCTTACCGCAACTTTTGTAAAGTTTCCGGTGCCACCGGGCAGCCGCAGCAGTATCGATCTCTGAAAAATATCCTCGACATGGACTCCGTTGTTGTCTGGAAGTTTTTTTTCAAGTTAAGAAAAGAGGCAGACGTGTTTCCTAAATCCTGCATCAGTCCAAGCAAGGCAACTACTTTCTGTTTTAATTCAGTTTTAGTAGCCATTAGC